AAACATTCAACCAAATCAACCTAATTAACTTGCTTATGATCCTAGTTTTCAGCATCACCCCAATTCTAATTACTAACCACAATCTAACCAACTCTTTCATAATCGTCGCCAATTTCAGCATCAACTTGTTTATGATCCTAATTTTCAGCATCAACCTAATTAACTTCATGATTCTAATTTTCAGCCTCAACAGAATCAATTTCGAAATCGCAATATTCAACAGAATAATTTTAAACATCTTTGACCTGAAATCATTAATATTTCAAGTGAACAGATGATAGAAATATTATTCTGAGCTATTCTGCAAAATAATGTTAGTATCAATCATGAAAGCATTATCAGTCAAGATGAGTTGACAAATTTTCCTTCTTCTCATGAAGCAACTGCTAATGCAATGGATAGCATCAACCAAAATCAGGTTCTGCCTCTTTTTAGTCAAGCAACTGCTAATGCCACTGTTATTATTAGTCAAAGATGTTCAAAACTTCATACTTTTATGTTCATTTTTATGTGTTTTATTATAATATTTTTATTCATAGCAATTGCTTCCACTATGAATAATCAAATTAAAATTTTGCAGTCTATTTTTGATACCAACAGAGATTTTTTCTTACATATACAAATAATGAATTAATTTACTTCATTGATTAATTCAATTTATAGTGTAATCAATTATTTTTTTGAAAGTATCTAGACGCATTAAAGTAGGCATTTGATAAATTAATTTTCGAATTATTCAATTTTTTTGATAAATAAAATAAAGGTATTTTTCGTCACAATACTATAAAAATTATTTTGATCGTGAAGTAATGATGCCTAAATTTTGATCAAAATATTATAATATATTTTAAAAGAGTTTACTGAATCTGTTATATTGTTAGATTGCTATAACCAAAAATTTCACAATTAATTTTTGAGTTGAAATTGTTTCATTATCAATTCTTGGATATTTAAACATTTTGTATCATTACTATATTCAATTTAAAAGTTTCATACTAGCATTTTTAAATTATTTTAGTTTCAAATGTGAATGATAATTATTGCTAAGAAAGCTGATAATAAAAGCGCATATTGTGGTTCATGTTCCCAATGTGTTGTCACATGATAATTTTGTATAGAGATTATATATAACAACCAAAACCGATAAATATACATGAATTAAAATGTGGCTAATTCAGTATATAAACTCTTCGTAAAGATTAGTGTTAGATCTTGTACTACACTACATGTTGGTATATATCAGAGTGCGATGTTTTCATTATTTAAATCATGTACTGTGAAAACCAATCATGAAACAAAAATGAACCGACTCTCTAGCAACTGCCTACATAAAATCTTCACTTTATTTGAAAGAGACCGAAAAAATCTTTTTTCATACTTACTTGTAAACTGTAAATGGTGTCGAATTATCATTCCAATTTTATGGAAACATCCGTTGTTTACTTCAGGAGTCATCAGAATGTTTCTCTCATACCTTAATAAAGAAGAACAAACATCATTAATACCTTTTGACATCTACGTTCCATCTAAGACATGCAGTACTCTATTTGAATATCCATGATACATCAAATACTTCTATATTGCTGATCTAATTAAAGGCATTTTTAAACTTTACAATTTTTGCCTTGACGGTTTTAAATTTTACGACATTATACCCATAACAACAAGAATCTTAATAAAAATCATTTTCATTTTCTGCACACAACTCGAAAAATTAGAAATCGATAATCATGACTACAAAAACACATTTTACTATGACATTATGGAAGAAGTTTTTCAAACCTTCCTGCTTAGCACAATTAGCAACAGCAATGTTACCTTAACCATTAAACGTTTTCAATTCAATTCTAGAGTTTGAAACGATTTCATAAAACTACTCACTAAAAACAAATCTGTAACTTCGTTAAAGTTGACCAACTTGGAACTTGAACCCAAATACATTACAAATTTAATCTCTGCTCTTCAACAAAACTCAAACATTCACTCACTCGATCTAACTTATATATTAAATGATAAAAGCGATCTCAAAAACTTATTTCTCGTTCAAACGTTGACCACCCTTAATCTTAGTTATTGTATTCTCAGATCAAATATTGTAATTCAAGAAATCGTTGACTTTCTGCACAAAAACCACACCTTAAAACACTTCGACCTATGTAACAATTATATCATCTACAGTGCTGGCAACGCAATTTTAAATGCTTTTTGTGAAAATTTCTCTCTCACACATTTAAATCTCTCTGCTAACCGTCTCGACGACCACAATTGCGCCGTACTAGCAGAAATGCTCCAAAAAAACACCACCCTCCTCTCTCTAAATCTAAACTACAACCAGATAGGTAGAAATGGGTCTTTTGTCACGAACTCACTTAGCAAAAACAAAAGTTTAGAATTTCTAGGCCTCCGCCACAATAACCTTTTACCTATCACTATTGAATCATTTTTAGAGAGCCTCTTTCTAAACACTACTCTAATCCAATTAGATCTTTTACGCGTACTTGACGACGACCAAATCATCGTAATTCAAAAAGAAGAAAAATACTTTCCAATTCTTTCCTGAATTCTTCTTAAAGATTATAGCTTATAAAGAAATTGAAGAGCGAGTACCAAAACATTCAAGATCTATTTGTTAATGAGATCCTTTCACTTACAAAAATTGAATTATTTTTAGAAACTCTTTATAAATACTACTCTTATACAATTAGATCTTTCCTTGACAAATTTTTTTCAAATTAATATATTAGATATTTCACATAGAAATATTCTATTTATATGTAAGATTTCAAGTACACAATTGATGAGATTTTATACTTTTTACTTTTAATGGGTTGGTGATAATTATGATTGATAAAATTGGTTTTACTTTTGTAGAAATTTTAGTAATCATAGCTGCTTTGTTAAATGTTAGAATAAAGAGAAAAACCCTGATAGTTTTACAATATACTGATCTTCTGATTTAATTAGAATTAAATCACAATTTGACTTAAAATGGCTACAGTTAATCGCTTTTATTTTTCTACGCAACATATTTTTTCATACAAGTTACTTTTTAAATTAGTGCCAAATTTATTAAAAAAGAACCAAGCTATTAATGACATTAATGATAATGCATGATCTTAAAATAAAATAAAAATACAGGGATTGCTATTGGCAAAACATTTACGTAGTTATATGCTTATGGGCACAACAATAACTAGCATTACTAAAATATTACTAAAATATACTTATCTTAACGTTAACTCTAACCCTAACTCAGGCCGATATTGTGCCTATAAGTCATGTAAATATTGTTCTCGTAGTTTTCCAGTAAAAATTGACAAAAGCAAGACTTTCAAAAGTCATGTGACTTTGAATGATAGAGTCGCACATCT